AGGCGCGTGCCATCAGGCATCCACGCGAGTGATAAGTTTTTTCCTGTGACCCTTGAAGTTTGCGATGCAGTTCCCTGTGCGTGGATCATAAATTGTGATATCGGAATTTGTCGCGATGGCAAGATGTTCACCAGACGGTGAATACCGAACACAGTGGAGGAATTTCTCAAAATAATACGTAGCCTTGTCCTGACAATGGATTGGGTCTCCTTGTACTTTCCATGTTTCTGTACTCCATAACTTGATGCCATCTGTTGAACTGACACTGGCAGTAGCCAATACTGTGCCATCGGGAGAAAAGTTAAGTGAGCTGATTGCATGGGAGTGGGCTTTGATGGTTTCAGTGAGAGATTTCCTTGTTTCTCCCTGCCAGGCAATGAAGTCCCCACTCTTATCACCGCTTGCTATCAATTGCCCATCTCGTGATACAGCCAATACCTTCACCTCGTCGTAATGCCCCTCCATTTTCTTCAACATGACACCTGCCTTTAAGTCCCAAATACGAAGGGTCCTATCTGCCGAGCCAGAGACCATATGTCGTCCATCAGGGAAAACTGCGACTGCATCTACGTGTTCGTCATGACCTTTAGATGCTCGAATAGGTTTGATGCGCTGTGACATTTGATGAAGGTTGATGGTGTTCAACGAGCACGATCGAGGGAGACTCAGCGGAGAGATTGTGATCGTCTTGCAGCCGAGGGATTGTGGTCATTCAAAGGTGCGTGCGGTCAGTCACTGGGCGTCTGAGTCTTTGCAGCATTTAAATTAACCTCCCCTCAGACGCCCAACGCACGAGGCTGTTGTCACAAGCACCTCAGGCCATGATGTGTCCACCTTTCTTCGCCGCAACTTTTCCAGATAAGTCAAACAAGCTTTTCTAATGATATCATTGATATGACTCACCAGCCATCACTACGTGACAGACGCTGAACACCATTGTTAAATAGGGCACCACATCCGTCGAGATTCGAGAAAACGTCTGATTGTGGACAGGCACACTCTTTTACGGTCGCTTATGCCAGCTCATGGCATCCGGCCCGTACAAACGACAGGCTCCCGATTTGGATCGTCAGTTTGAACTTTTGTTGTTTCGCGTTGCGTGGTTCCCCCTAGTAGTGAGCTAAACGCGTACTTACCGTATTACCATATTGTCCTTGTCATCATCTGAGGAGCGTTCATGATTCTAATTAAATCACGCCAAGTACGTGGTCCCTTGTTCAACGAAGCCATGAAGGACCGCGTTTAGGACAAGGCTTTGATTACTGGATCGCCGCTTCTTTGTCTTTATGTTTATTTAGGACTGAGGGTTGGGAGTCGACAGAATACAATTACAGCATGTTTTTTATTTATTGCCTTGTATTCAGGAGAAGGCAAATATCAAAGGCATAACTGTCCTTCTGGGTTTAATTGGTCGCTTGTGCAGCTTACATGCGGTGACACTCGGGGCCTACCACTGCAATGTCAGTGCGCTTGGGGTGGTCCATAGCAAGTGAGTGAGTTTCAATTTTTATCGTACATGATCACACAAGCCTGCATCCGGCAACGTTATCATGATGATTTGACGGAGTTTGAGGAATCATCGAGCCTCGTCTGAAGTTTTCCGGTCGTAACCATAGCGTGTCGTGCCAACTGCGTCATTTTGACGGCGCCATGTATGGTTGTCTGTGTGCGAGAGAATCGGACAGTGAACAAGAAGCACAGGACAACCATTTACCGAAGTGGCGAATAGGCAAGTCTGTGATGGGACCAATCAGCGTAAGAACGGTCCAACTGGGGCGTGATAGAAGGAACAAGTTATGCGGGAATGCAGTAGCTCTCCATAAATTTCAACGAACAGATTCACTGACATATGATACAAATGCAATTCATAGTCAGCGGTGGGTGCATAAGCATGATAGATGGTCTTTCCTGCATCCTGTTGTGAGCCAGCAGACCATACGAATACAAAGGGCGATTTGCGTATACAAGCAAGTAGTGTCAAGGTACGAACGAAAACTACTCAAACTCCTCGTTTTGAAACACACAAGTAGCCGCTCGCTGCAAGGGCAACATCTTCATGGGCGGTGTGGAGTGCGCTTCGCCTCCCATTGAGAGCTGAAGGAAATTCAAATGAGTATCGTAGCACGGGTAGTGTTTCTGATAACTTGCCAGGGATCCAATCAAGAAAGATGGCCTTCGTGGGTTCATCACTCATGTCCATCATGTATCGGTACGCTTCGAAAGCTGTTCCAGCTTGATCGCCCAGGAGAAGCGCATGGCAACGTTGCTTGTTTGCGGTCTGCCACAAGGATTTGAGGTCCCAGCCGAAAAGCTGCACAAGCACGCAGTTGAGCATAAAAAGGATTGTTGGTTGCGTCATATCAACGTACCACAACAAAGTCCTCGTACATAGAGTGAATATCCAACTTAGCAAATGAAGCGCTAGCATTGACGGCGGCAGTGAAATGGTCAGCGGCTTCTCCGTGAAGGGCGCCATCCATGGCAATTTTTCCTAGTTGGACTCGCATATATGCCTGATTTGCGAAGCGCAGAAAATCCAGTGAGCACACGAATCTGGACTTGATTGGATGCATTATACTCACTTCTACAACACGACAGGCGAGAGGATCGGCATTGGGACGGGCAGCCAGCTCTTGGACTGGAAATATTGCCTCTCCATCTTTATCTGCATTGAACAACGCGATGGCCTGGAAAAACCGTAATGAAGTATGGTGAGAGATTTTTTTAAAAACACGTGCCCTGATCAAGAAGAGGAAATGAATTGTCTTCAAATCGGCGTTGGTGAACGTGAACGCGAGGTCGAATGCTTTCGTCGCGTCCCAGACTTGCTGTTTCCCGCAGAGAGCAAGGCCCTTGGAGACATGCCCTGTGAAGGAGGGCTCAATACTGATGGACTACGACACGATCCAAATTAGCCTGCATTAAGAGGCATGATGGGTCAGCGCATCTTACCTTGATCGCATCATTGAGCGCATGATCCCAATTGAGTTGTCGCGCCATGATGATCGACCGATTGGCATAGGAGTTGTAGTTGTCGGCATCAGCATCGATCTCTTTGGTTAGCAGCTCTTCGGCAGTATGCAGGTCTCCAGTTATGCATATGTTACGAACTGCCGCATTTATATCGAGAATCTACAGCATGTTCGCGTTAATGCGCTGTCACTGGTCAGAGAGCCAAAGGTGAATACATGCCTTGAAATCATACAGATGCGAAATTAGATGATAAAGAGACGGAAAACGAAAAGCAGCTTACCTGGTGTGCCACTTGTTCCTTGGGACCATCCTGCGGCAAAGCATCCTCGGGTACCTGCCACTTTGATATCTTCTTATCCATACCTCCACTGAGAATGTTCCTGCCATCTGTGGAGAAGGTGACGCAGTGCACCTGAGCAGAGTGTTTGAATATGGCGATCGTTTGTCTGTCAGAGAGCCGCCAGAGGCGGACATGGTTGTCCTCAGATGCAGAGGCAACGAGTGTGCCATTAGAGTTCAAGGCAATGGCTCTGATACCGTGGGAATGGCCCTCCCAGGGATCACCAACCCGCTGCCAAGTCAATGAATCCCACTCCCATATGGTACAATCCTCCCCATATCGGCCTGATGAGAGAATACGTGTGCCATCGGGTGTCCATGCGAGCGAGTAGTTGATTCCACTGGTCGTTGCTTGGAACTTCGCGACGCATTCTCTCGTGGCTAGTTTCCATATTTGGATGTTACTGTGTGTTGCGATGGCAAGATGTTCACCAGACGGTGAATACCGAACGCAGCGAGCAGGTGAGCCACATTGGATCGAATTTCCTCGCTCCTGCCACGTTTTTGTATTCCACAGTCTCGCCGTCTGGTCGAGTGAACCGGTGACCAGCATCTCATCATCTGGGGAAAAGTCCAGCGATAGGATCCAATTAGTGTGGACTTTAATGACTTGTGTGACAGGTTCGCCAGTATTTCCATCCCAGGTTACCAGCTCTCCGTTTTCGCCACCGCTTGCTATCAATTGCCCATTTCGCGATACCACCAATACCCACACAAAGCCGCCATGCCGCTCCATTTTCTTCAACATAACGCCTTCCTTTATGTCCCACAGGCGAAGAATCTTGTCTTGCGAGCTCGTCACCATCCTTCGTCTATCGGGAAGAACTGCAACACTGGATACAGATCCATCGTGGCCTTCAAATCCTTGAACGGGTGTGGTACTTGGGATGAGTTGTGACATTTCACTGAAGGTTGGTGGTGTTGAACAAGTCGTGGGCTTGTTAGAAGGCTCTGGAGGGATCGTGGATGTCTAACATTAAGCAGCATTGCCATCAACTGCCAGTGAAGGGTTTTTCCTAATCCTGATTCCATTACGATATCAATCTTCCTCGTGTCTCGTTAGATGTCTCAGGCATGAGGCTATTATCATAAGCGCCTTGGCATGTGCATCCGAGCTCTCCTGATGCGTGATTAATTATCGCTGCAAGTCAATCAGTTTTCAAACGAATACTCAGAGCCCGAATGTCTTCACAGTGACGTGCTCGATGACCTCATCAGGGAAATCCTCGCTCTGAAATCGGCTGAAACGCGATAAACTTGAGTATTTGATTCAACGAGGACTTTAATTATGGTTGGTCGGTGTATCTCACCCATGAAAATGAAACGCGTGCTCCCAGCCGTGTTGTATGCCATAACAATTTCAAATGAGCGGTTGGCATCGACGTCAATCAACCTTTCAGCAGTAGGCAAGCCCTTTATGGTGCAGTATCGTTGGTGTGCTCGGTCGAAGTGCTTGATGAGCAGTGGACATGCTTGGAAACAGATACGGAGGCCACGAGAGCTCCCAGCAGAAGCGTTCCCAGCAAGGGCCTTGATCCAGTCGATATAGTTGTTCTAAGGAAGATTACTACCTGGTCGATAGATCCCACACCCGCATAGGTTCATTTTACTGTTCTAGATTGGCTGCAAGGAAAATATCGTGGTTGCTATAAAATAGATAAAGTTCAAATTTCAAAGCCCGCGAATGCGATTGTTTCAGTCTGGAACTTCTTGCACCCATGACCTGGATCTTCCATCCTACTTGAGCAAGCCACGATGCCAGCTACACGCAAGGTTGTCCCTCGCAAGCGCGCTCAGTCATCCAATGAAGATTCAGAGCCCGAATCTCTTCACAGCGACGCGCTCGATGACCTGCCGCCCAAGAAACGCACGCGCTCTTCCAATCCTAAGTCCAGCTCACCTTCAAAACCCAAGCCCAAGCGTAGGACACGCAAAGCCAAGGAAGATGATGTCAAGGATGAAGAGGATGTAGATGGTAGCGACGTAGACCTGAAGGAGGGGCAGCAAGTCGTGGGTCGCGTTGTGCAAGCTCCAAAGACAGGCTGGGGTAACTTGGTCTTTTCCTACCTCAGGGATGATCAGCTTACCTGTTTTAAAGTGCCTCCTGGTCAGATTTCACAGAACACGCTTGATTTTCTAGCGCAACTCAAGGACCCTGCATGTAACGACCGCGAATGGTTCGTACTTCTATTGTGGCCTTCATTCATTTATCGTTGACTGAGAATATTTACGCGCTTCTAGGTTCAAGCTACATGGTATGTGGAGCTTATGCATTGGGCCGAAACTCCAAGCTTATTTGGTAACAGAGCCGGTTTACCGTCGCGTAGAAAAGGAATTCAAGGACTTCATCGAGGCGTTCACTAATATGCTCACAGATGTCGACTTCCAGATCCCCCCATTGCCTCCCAAAGATGTCATCCACCGCATATATAGAGATGTCTGCCCCCTCACATATTTCCTTCTGCGGACTTGCGAACCTGATGTCGTGTGCGTAGGTCCGCTTCAGCAACGATAAAACACCGTACAAGAAGGGACTATCTGCGAGTTTTTCGAGGAGTGGCAGGAAGGGGATTTTTGCGTTTTGTAAGCTTCATGGTATTTTGCTTTCGCCGCAAATATCTAACTGTTCGTAGACCACGTGTACGCACCTCTTAGCATCGAAGTCGGATGAGCTGACTGGATATATGCGCGTTGTTTGCTCACACAGAATGAGTCAGTCATAGCTGACAATACTGGTTCGGTGCACGCTGACATGGATTATGATTAGTAAAGCCGGGTGACGAGAGCGTCATCGCTGCAGGTGCATGGTGTCCTGCTAAGAACGAACTTGCGACTCTCAGGTGTGTCTCGCTCCGCTTTGTTGCCATAGTTCTTTTCATGCCTTCCCACGCCTAACAGAAACCACCTACTTCGCTCCACACCCGCCGCTAAGACTCTGCACACGATCCTTTCTTCTGAAGCATTTACTACCCATTTCGGCCCTCCCCGCCCACACCCGCATGGAGATCGTCAGAGTGTGTTTGGGCATGAAGATGAATTGAAGGTGGCACCAAAGGGCGTGGATAAGAATCACAAGTATGTGGTAGATTATCATTCGAGTCACGAAGGCTAATTGATACACTATGCTATGCATTTCTAGAGATATCGCCCTCCTCAAATGTCGCTCCCTCGCAGTTTCCTGTCGGTTCACAGATGCCCAAGTCGTTGCACCTGGATCCGAGTTTATGAATACACTGCGTGGTGTTGCAGGTGTAATGACACCATTTGTCCATTGGTGAGTGCTGTTGCTGGCTTTCTCGGACCGATTCCGAACCAGAGGCGCCATTCGCACTGAGTGCTTCATTTTGAGTATAGCGTTTGGGGGACATGGACTAACATCACCTCCTGTAGTTTGAATGATCTGATGACGCTTGCTGTGGACGACGGTTCGGATGAAGAGAACGAGGAAGATAATACTGGGGGTCCGGAGGAAGATGAGAGTGAAGGCGGAAATGAATAACAAACAGGAAGCCTGGATTCATTTACCAAAGCTGAGCTGGCTGTTCAAATATTGCCAGTATTAATTTTCTCAGGTATCTTACTGTCATCCAGTATACACGATGGCGATTGTGTCCACCCCATCAGTTACTGTCTAAGACTAACCTTCGTTAGATAAACAGTGACTTCATCTCAGTATGGATGGTGGCAAGAAACCTTGCAAGGATGGTCGGACGGACTACCCGCCGGACTTTTTGTTTCTTGCAAAAATGCCGAGCGGACTGTGAAATTGGCCAACGTGACCAGAATTCTGTAACGAGATTGGCACGAATTGGTAATAGAGCCAATAACTTATAAGTAGCTGGTTCACTTATTCAGGTGCGTCGTTATACCATGTCAGCTGTCTCGCTCCAGACCACTGCAATCCCAATCGTCGACTTTGCATGCTTCGGGGATGGTACTTCCCCAGTACGTACGGCGCTCACAATGTACATGCGACGATAATCATTGAAGCTCCTTTTTTAACATACAGGAAGCGACAGAGATAGGAAAACAATTAGTCAAAGCGTGTCGAGAAGTCGGATTTGCATACTTTCGCAACACTGGTATCCCTCAGGCAGAGGTGGATTGTATGTTTGAATGGGTGTGTGTATATCACTGCATGTGCGAGATTTACCCCAACGAATGAGTGTGCATCAAGAGCAGGAGGTTATTCTCGCTTCCAATTGAGGCAAAGCTGTTGGCTCCGCATCCTACGGAGGGATGGAAACACCGAGGATATAGCGGGGTGCGTTGTCCTGAGTTACGAAGACCACATCGTAACATGCCTTAGCAAACGTCTTATTCAGGTGGGCAGGGAGCAAATTTCACAATTGGTACGTCTCAGTATCATTCGAACTGCAATATCCTGACTCGCGTAGGTATCCAAGTTCGACCCAACGCAGGTCGCCGCGATACAGAAACAAACTCCCGATTTCAAAGAATCATTTGACATTGGGCGCAATAATTGCCCACGCGTCTCCAATGTGTGGCTCCCAGAGCAAGTCCTTCCGGGTTTCAGAGACGCGGCATCTACTTTCTTTAATACATGCCATCGCTTTGAGATCGAGAAGTTATTACCTGCGTTATCTCTAGGGCTCGAGCTCCCTGGTGGAGGCGAATTCTTGGGAAAATATCACCAAAAAGCAGAGTGTCAACTGCGATTATTGCATTATCCAGCTGCGCCTGCAGAGATATTCGCACGCGGTGAGAAAGGGAGAATCAGTGCACATACGGTGTGTGATTATTTGAGCAGCAGTGATTATGTGTCGCCAACAAACGATAGGATTTTGCAACGGGCACGATTCTGTTCCAAGATGATGTTGGGGGACTCGAGGTTGAGTGCCCTCGTGGTTCAGGAAATTTCGTCGCTGCGTCACCCATTCCGGGAACGGCCGTTTTCAATATAGGAGACTTCTTAATGCGGTGGTCAAACGGTACGATTCTTTCGGCTGTTCTCCGCCATAATGCTTATATTTTATTCTAACCAGATACGCTTAAATCAACATTGCACCGCGTGTGTGCGCCCCCGAATGATGGGAAGTTGGGAATGGTCAAGGAACGCTTCTCGATCCCATATGTAAGCTCCCCGCAGACATTTGATGTGTGTTTGATGCTGATGCTGGATTAGTTTATATCTCCTGACAGAGATCTTTTGATTGACTGCCTCCCTGGCTGTTGGGATGAAGACACACCGAAGAAGTATGAGCCTGTGACAGCAGGGGCGTATGTTGACATGCGGCTTGATGCTACGTATTAATGATTTACCAACCTGGAATGATTATGTCTGGATGTTGCCTGGATGGTGAAGGTCTTTCCTAGACCTTTTACTTCTTGTTCCGATCTCGGCATATTATCTGAACTCCCTGGTGATCCGTCAGTCATCTCGTTCAACGCTACAAAAGGCTAGTGCGCTGCAATGATCCACTTTACTCTGCCATGTTGATATCATCGGATATCACCGAGCAGTACACGGGCGCCTTACACCCCAATTCGTTTACAACAGCTTGTGTGGATATTAGAAATCCATAACATTGAAAAAATTGCTAGCGTTTCATCAGTGAATCGGCAGTTCCAAACGTCTGAAGTATCAACGATAAAGGATTGAATTAGCTGATCACGTTACTGCACACTACGTATGTTGAGAGCCTCGTCAACTTGTGGAATAGATGATGGGCTTTGTCAGATGAAACACAATCAAATTGATATTACATTGGGGCTGTACCGGTAATTAAGCCACCATAGCAAATCTAGTGGTATCTGCAACCAAATCGCACACATGTAGCATATTCCAAGCATCCGTTCAGCAGCGCAAATCCGGAGTTGTTGATTTCGCTTCACGAAGCACGAGAACCGCATCGTACACATTCTGTGACGACGCTCCCGGAAACGGATGGTGATGCCCGACGAACAAATGGTGAGGAGTTTCCAAGCACTTAACCCGAGACGGCATCACGAAGAGGCATCCCAGGATTCCCAAACGAGATAAACGCACACTCGCACTGGCAACGTCTACTTGTTACGACCTCACAGAGTTGTGCCGGCGCAGAATAGGGGCAGAGTATGCGTATATGGGTGAGTTATTGAGAGGCAGGGTGAAGACGGTTGGGGTACTACTTGCGGGCTTGAAGGCCGGATCACCTATAGCATCGCGCCGCGAGAGTAAATAAGTGTGAGTCGCGAGCAGAAGCTCATCTACGAGCTTGTGCTGGAGGAGGGCACGAGGTATGAGCTTTGAAGTGAACAATAGTGGCAGGGCCAGGAAACCTGGTCGTATGTGGTATTGTGTGATATTGGTTCGTGCGACATCGCACAGAACGTTGGCCACCAATGGCGCTATTCATCAGACGCGGCGATGTAGTCCCCATGCGATGATTGGCTGTTCTAATTTTACATAAATGTATGCAATTGACTGATATCACATTGCTTATACTCGAGATTCCGCGACTGGAGCGCTCTGTCCGTTCCCGTTCATTTACAAAGCTTGGCACTTGATATTCAGTACCAGTGGCCCCGCTTCCTGCGATTGATTGATGCAGGAGGGCGTTTAAAGATCTGAAATTCTCGATCCGAGCCGAGGGTTGGCCAGTAATGTCTACCGAATCACCATCTGAACGTCAGTACGATGGTATATCCCTCCTGAGCTTAACACTTTTCACGGGCATTTGCTACGGGACTGTACTAACCATCTACATCCAGTGCCTCTTTTCATTGGTCCACAGTCGGATGCGGCAGCTGTCTCCCGGGCGACGACTATTTTTCTTCGGCTATACATCCGCCATGTTTATCCTTGAAACCTTATATGCTGCTGCAAATTCTCGAAGAGTTTGGATAGCGTTCGTTATGAATTGGGGCTCCCCCACTGGTCCAGCAAGTTACGAGATTGGTTTATGGCATGACTGGGCCAGTATAGTAGCAATGGCGTGCTATATCATCTCCAATTGGTTGGCCGATGCGCTCATGGTAAGATCATCAGTGTCATCTATGCTCATGTAGATCGTTGACTCGTGCCTCTCCTTAGCTTGGGCGCTGTGTGATCCTGTTCCGAAACATGAAAAACACAAGATGGCTGATCCCTATCACGTGCAGCGTGTTCCTTGTCGTTATTGGTATCTACTACGATATAAAGCGTTGACTTCAGAGGTGCTGACAATACATTGGCAGCGGCTTCTATCGATCTGTTTGTGAATACAACAGAAGTGTCCAAGTCAATGGAAGCAATGGCCAAAGCTCATTGCACATTTGTTGCGGTCGATCTCTCCTTTAATATTACCGCGACGTCATTGATAACCGCTTGTATCATGACACACCGTGCGAAGCTTGCGAAATCAATAGGTAAGTAAGCTATATTGCCTCATTACTCTGATATACGTCCTTCGTTCAGGAACTCGTGCCCATAGGAGGGAGTACATCAATATTATTGCAATGACTACTCAATCTTGTATGATTTCCTCGATTGGCTCGATCATCTATCTTATCCTCTACGCGATGGATAATTTTGTTCAGTATCCATTCATAGCCATCCAGAATCAAATGCAGGTAAGAGATAACACTATATCACGCCATCTAGTTTTAATTTTTAAGCAATACAGGTCATTGCACCATTTGTATTGATCTTGAGAATCATCCAGGGACAAGTGTGGACAAGACGGACAGATGTTAATACCACAGATCATTCGCTTCAAAGTGGTATCGAGGACTTTCCTTCCAGCTTCAGCGAGCATCGTCTTAGTGCTCGTTCTTCTGAGGCATCCACCGTCGTATTGGCTTATGGAATTCCACATTATTAACAAATAGCTCCGTCACGACCCTAACATAAATGTACAGAACGGTCAGAACATTTACATAGCCGTCTAGACTTTCGTCATGGACTGATTTCTGCAAGCGGTAGAACAGAAGTAATCAGTTCCAGTCTGTGGGTAGCGTTGGCACATAATGCATCCAGGAACCAGTCCGAGGGTCACTGCTTCTCTGAAGGACATTTAGTATCTTATGTCAATCGACCTCCTGTGACCACTTACTCTCGGTGTCGTGTGGAGCAGTAATCTGTCTTCACCCCACCTCTATCAACAAAGGATTGTTTGCCACAGTTGGGGACAAGACAGGTACCAGTAACATGACGGGCTGAGGTGCTTTGTTTCAGCGAAGCATGCGCAGTCTTGACTGGTCGTGACGGAGGAGCTGGAGCAGGTTCTTCGTCATCATCTGATGGATACGCGTCCAGGTCTGTGCCTGTGCCTGTATCGTCTTCGGCTTCCTCATCAGCATCAGCGTACTCCTCCTCGTCATCCTCGCTGGACTCATCTGCAAATAGGAGTAAGTATCGAAGTCAGATGAACGATAATGAGTAACCTTTGGTCACAGTTAAAACTGCGTGGTGTGTTGCCGGTTTAGAAGTTTTGATAGGTTGAGCAGTGGCAGGAAGGCGAACGCCATGCTTTGGAACCGATCGTCCATGCACAGCAGGTTGCGCAGGAGGACCGGTAGCGGCTTTCGACGCGCATGATTTACTGCAGTAATCAAAGTTACTGAACTTCGGCTTTTGCCCACAATACTGGAATGAAATATGTTTCATGACTGCCAGATCATCACGATCCTGAACTCACGTCGCAGAGCCGTCCCTGTTTTTGGGCCGGTGGAGAAACTTTAGCCTTGGGATGTGGTCCTGGTTTCGCGCGAGGCGCAGGTTGGTGCACAGCGGCCGCCTGAGCAGCGCACGTTTTGCCACAGTACTTATGAGTACCGAATTTCGGCGTTTTATGACAGTTCTACACACAAAATTCAAGGGTGAACTGGTACTAGTAGAGACACGGTAAGCGATCACTTACCTCGCAAAGTCCTGTAGCCATTGAAGTTATCTGAGCTGCTGCCCAGTTCAAAATTGCGTCCTGGTTTATAGAGGTGGTGGACATTGGGATGAGGCTGCGGAGACAGCCCAGGCGTTGGGGTGGATGATACCACACCACAACGTGCTGTCCGCATGTCAATGCACGAGGCTGTCTGTTATGAAATGGAGCAGTGCATCTAGCCCAAAGAGAGCAAAAAAGGGTACGCCTTCAGCGATTCTTAGGCCATCTGTTTGTCTCCTGTGCTTCTTCGATCAAGGGGAGGTATTACACGTGGTTAGATCATCTCGACCCACAAGGAGATTCAGTCAGTTCCAGCAAAACTTGGGTTGCGCTCACTCAGGAGATTGAAATACATAAATAAATCATGATGACTGTCCAAACTAACAAGAGCGAGGTTCAAGTTTGCTTCGTGTACATCACGACGAATCTGGGGATAATCACATCTGACACTCGAACAACTACCCTGTCGCCAGCGATAACCTGCAGGCATAACGTCAATGAGAGCTCTAATTTCAAGTTCAAATCGTTTACCGAAGTGCTCTTGTCGAGGTGTTGCGGCAAAACAACATCGCAGGCGATCATGACGCGGTAAGGCGAAGACAAGCATGAGATGGCGAATGCATCGGCAGAAGCTGGGTTTCTAGAAGAGTACAGTCCCTTGCCTTGTCTTGACAATGAATAACGATAAAGATGAAAAATGCGTCACGTGTGAAATAAAGATAGTTACCCACCTCCCTACATTGTATGAAATACCAAAGGCGACGCGTCTAAAAGCTGAGCCCACGACATTACAGATGCCGCACGAGTTCCACTTGCAAAGCGTGGGACCTTTGGTCCCCATGTCGCAGATACACTGAGATGCGTGAAATGTGCGTAAGACGTGAGTCTGTCCAGTAGCTTGTGAGCCCTGTCTATGGATAACTAAGTCTAGCACTGAGCTCGGTGCAAGAGGAGACACTCACAGATATTTATCTTTGGCATCGGATATACTTGTCGGATAAGATATTTCATACAGCTTTTCCACCAACGCTGATCCTTCCTGGGACAGCCACTTGCTATTCCACTCCCTTACAACTTGGAAAAACGTCAATCAAATGGCATAAGCGTAATTGATAATATCACGTACATTCTCGCCACACAGTCGCAGAACTGGGAATCTCAGACAAGTGAACGACATCCGAGGGAGCTTTAGGCTTCGTATGCCCAGCAACATTGTGATTATCAGTTTGTAGTTGCGTCTTGGGGCCGGGAGAAGCTAATGGAGGAGGGGGAGCACTCCCCTTCCTGTTGGCTCTCAATCTCTGTCCCAAGAAGCGTTTCTCCACTGCGACTTACTTGGCGTGATCAACAGAACAAAACCCATTGAAAGCAGTCCCTGGGTTGCTGCAGCCTCTGAGAAAGCATTCAGGCGCTGCCTTTCCTACCCCAGTTCGAGCACACGAGCGACCACAATAAGAGTGTTGTGTTCCACTTGGATCAACATATTTCGGCTTGATACCACATGCCTATCGCCGACATAGTTTAAGATTTCGATAGGAAGAAAAACCAGAGCCCGAGACATACCTCACACAAAGTAGCATTTCGTCGCACAGTGTCGAAAGTCGTAGTCATCGTAGGAAACATGACGACCTCAGGATCACTCACCAAACAAGATAACTAGCTGCGCAAATGGCCCACGTGTAATGCACACCCTATGTGCGCGTGAAGCAGCGCCACTGCGGCACTGCATCCAGCACAAACTATCACTGCATCATGGACCCAGCTTTCCTCGAAGCAGCAACGTGTCGGCGGCACATGGTGCATGGGAATAAGAGGATCGCGCCCCATACATAAGCTTCTTCAAAGACCGAAAAAGAGTGCAACATAGGCGACGAGCGTGAAGCCCACCGCGAACCAAGTGACGATACTGCAATTATCTCGAAAGTCCCAGAAGGCACTGACGTCAAACAAAGACAAGAGTAGCTGAACAATACTCCTGACGCACCACATGGACCTTGCCCAATCATTTCGGGTCAGCTCAACCAAACCACAGAGTCCCCGCAAACTTGACTGGATCAAGAAGGGACTCGAGGAGGATCGTGGATACCTGTCGGATGGCGGCAAAGTCAGTATTACCCCTACAAGTCCTGCACTGCCGCCGCGAACACCACGTGCATCATCGGCGCAACGTCCATCAACATATCCTCAGCCATCCTCACTCACCACCCGCCCAACTCCGCATTCCAGTAAGACGCTCTCAGATGGGAAGCCAAATAAAATTCTGTTCTATCATGCCCACGACCCACACTATGGTTTCACTAATTTCTCATCCGACCCCATTGAGTACAATGGAAAGAAATACCCCACGAGCGAACACCTCTTCCAGTCGCTGAAGGTAAGCAACTTTACCAACAGTGCCATCATCTGATATGTTACTCACCACTGCCATAGTTCATGGAACGCCGTCCCGAGCTCGCAGAGCACATCAGAACGTGTTCCACGCGTCCGCGTGTGGTATTTGACGAAGCCCACAGGTTCAGCCCTGAAGTGCGATCTGATTGGCTGCAAGTGAGAATTGAGATGGTGAGAATCAGTATCGACTGCAATTGCGTTCAGCTGATGACACAAAAAATTAGATGGACCTTGTTCTCTGGCACAAATTCTCGCAGAACAGACATTTGAAGGAAGAACTACTCTCTACTGGAGATGCAGAACTTGTTGAGGTTAGTTGATCTAGATCGCGAGGGCCATGACGAAGTTTACTTATACTCCACAGGATTCTGATAAGGACTCATTTTGGGGTATCGGAGTAGACCGGAAAGGCCAAAACCAGTTAGGCAAGGCTTTGGTAAGGCTTAGGACCAAGTTGAGGAACGAGCAGAGTAGCAGTGCAGGCAACAAGGCTTTGACGCTCCTGAGGAAGACTGTTGGACGCTGATATAGCATAGAACTTGAACACACTTGAAACGCTGGATTTGTATATTCTCATCCTGGTACAGCACTTAGCTTTGTCGACAGGCTGAATAGATCGTCCTGCGGTGAACGAGATGGTAGGAGGCGCTGTAAACTTCAAGTGAATGGCGCACCTTGAAAAACTTGTCCAGGACTATGACATATTTTTAACTTTCCAGTGTGAAATAGTGAATTGGATTACATAATACAATAATTGGACCCGGACAACTCTAGTACGGGTAGAACAAAACCTGAATAGCACCCACGTTTGTACGACCTATAGCTTCGCCCGAAGTCCAATCAATAAACGTAATGCATGATGTTAATGTCGTATCTTTGACCATCGTGTTTGATCGGACAGCGATCGAGAACTGCGCGTTTTAGATAACCAATGGTCAGCGATGGCAATTCCACGTCTGAGACTCTGTGATCCAGTGAATGGTTCAGTTTGGAGTAGCAGCCCAATTCGATTGAGACGGATGGAAGGAACATGTGTGCAGGGTATAAGCAAAGACTCTCGATTGAAGGTGTTTCAGAATTTGAACTTTAACGAGCCGACAGTGATTTGGTGAAGGACACGCGCCGAATGATGGGTGCAAGCATTGTGGATGTCCTGTTCGAGTAAGCCCGTGTATAATACAAGCACAAATGTAATACAGATACTGTAAAGGTACGAATGAGAACTGCTTGAATAACTGTGTTTCATACAGTATGAGTAACTGCACGCTGCAAGCACATTGTAGCCATTGGAAGTATAGAGCACGTTTGGTCTTACTTGAGATCTGAGTAAAAAAGTGCTATTAAGGATTACAGATGGGGTAACATCAATGAAAACTTACCACTGAACCAAGCTCGTAAGCTAGCCTTCGTAGTTTCGTCACTCTTGTCCATCATAGATTGATACGATTCGACGCCTGCTCCAATTCGACCTGCCCGAATGAGTGCTTTGCACAGTTGCTTGTTCGCGGTTTGCCACAAGGACTCGAGGTTCCAGCCGAAGAGCTGCAAAACACGCAGATGAGCATGAAAAGTGCATTCGATTGCATGGTATCAACGTACCACGGTGAATTCCTCGTGCGTAGAATGAATTTCCAATTGATGAAAGGAAGCGCTTGCGTTGACGGCGGCATTGAAGTGGTCAATAGCTTCACTGTGGTGCGCGTTGCGGAAGGCAACCATTCCGAGTTGGACGCGTAGATAGGTCTGATGTGCAAGGATCAGGAAAATTAGTGCCAGCTCATGAAATTGGGCTTCATCAAGTGCGCGATACTCACTTCCACGATACGGCATGCAACAGGATCGACATTGGGAGATACAGCTAGCTCTCCGAGGCGCAGCATTGCCTCCTCAGGTTCATTTGCGTTAAACAGTGAGATGGTCTAAAAATCACATTGAAGCACATGATACGCAAGAAGAAAGATTACTTGCCTTGATCAAGAAAAGGAAATGACTGGTCTTTAAATCTCCATTCGTGAACACGGACGCAAGGTCAAATGCTGTATTCGCGGCCCGGACCTGCCTCAGGCATGCCTTGGAGACGTGGCCTGCAAACGAAGGTTGAATGCTAACGGACTATCCACCAAAGTTAGCTTTCAGAGGTGAAAATATAGGTCAATCTATACCACCTTGATTGAATCAAGGAGCGCGCGGTCCCAGTCGGATTTTCGCGCCATAATGAATGCGCGATTGGCATAGGATATGTGATTGTTGGCATCAGCATCAATTTCTCCATTTAACACCGTTTCAGCGGTAGACAAGTCCCAAGCTATGCATGCATCGCGAGCTGTTGGGCTCATAGCAAAGATCTGCGCGAAGCATGTTCACATTCCGTTCTAAGAGTCAAAGGTAAGAGCATGCCTGTAAATCAGGGTGGGCCTGAGCCTTGGCATAAGATGTTTAGATGGCAAAAGGGCGCAAAAATGAAACAAAATTACCTGGTGCATCACCTGCTCCACGAGAACATCCTTTGGACCATCCTTTGGAATCGCGTTTTCGGATAGTGGCCACTCTGAGATTGTCTTTTCACTTCCGCTGAGGATGTGCATGTCATCTGCGGAAAATGCAACACAGGACACCGGGTGAGAGTGCTTGAATGAGACAATGGTTCGTCGATCTGAGAGCCGCCAAAGGCGGACACGGTGATCTGCAGATGCGGAGGCAAGGAGAGTGCCACTAGAATTTAGGGAAATAGCGTTGATACGTTCGAAATGGCCCTTCCAGGGATCACCGACCTGCTTCCAGGTCGATGGATCCCACTCCCGCATACTGGAATCAGAATCATCTCCAGCTGAGAAAAGCCGCGTGCCATCGGGCGCCCACGCGAGTGAGATGTTCCATCCTGAGTGAGCCTTGAAGTTTACAATGCATTCCCTTGTGCTTGTATTATAAATTTCGATATTGCTGGATGTTGCGACGGCAAGAAGTTCGCCAGGCGGCGAATACCGAACGCAGTGGACACGATCAGCGCAAGCGATTGGATTTCCTAGCAGCTCCCAGGTTTTCGTACTGAAGAGTGACGTTACTCCATCGAATCCACCTGCAGTTGCCAGCATCGAGCCATCTGGGCAAAAATCCAGCGATTTGATGAACTCGTGGGCTTTGATGACTTGGGTGAGAGGCTCCCCAATATCTGCATCCCAGGCGATAACCCCTCCATAGACATCACCGCTTGCTATCAATTGCCCATCTTGTGATACAACCAATGCCGAAACCATAAGGCGATGTCCCTCCAATTCTTTCAACACAACGCCCTCCTTCATGTCCCACAGGACGACCTTGCCGACCGCGCCCGTGACCATGCGTCGTCTGTCAGGGAAAACTGCGACTGCGCCTACATGATTACCTTCGTTGAGAACTCGAACGGGTGTGGGGTTTGGAATGATGAGCTGCGCCATTTTTTAGAGGTTGGTGGTGTTGGCGTGGACTTTGTTGCCGAGTTACATTTTTGCTGCTTCACTGTTAGGCGCCCAATACACGAGTCTGGTCACATAGGCGCCTTGCTTCTCGAAATGTCACGGCTGAGCTCGTGAATCACCGCAGCTTTTTCAATTCTCCACGCCCCCTGACTTTCCATTAGGTCGGCATTCAAAGACTACCCGTGGCATCTTGAGCCTTCCGTTCCCTAGAATGTCACCCCATCTATGATAGAGGTTGGGGAACTTATTTGATCTCATCCGAATCTGGGATTGGTCGCGTTACAGGTATGCAAAACTCTGCTATTATGGATCACTGAATGAGCGTTCATCCGAGCTCGGTCATGGGTTTACTCCAATTTGATATTTCGAACTAGTTTTATCCTTTGATCAATCATTGTCTCACTTGCTCGGGTCGCCCTGCCTCAATGTTCGTGTGTTTCCATATTCCCGATACAGCGTCCATGGATAGACTCGTGGTAATCGATCACTGCTGTCAATCGCTTTGGAGAGATTCTCCAATGTTGCACGACAGCTTCTAGCGGGCAGCCCAGCTTTGTTTTATACATGATCAAAATGATGTTGAGCATATTCTGTAGAAGTCATGTCGCCGACAGCCTGATGACATTCTTCCGTTATTTCTTTGATCCCAATGACAGTGGTACGCATCTTGCTTACCATGTTCTTGTTCTTGTCTTCCCCATTTTATGCGCATCTTCCACCTATCTTATACCTCTATTTGGCTTCTGAAGGCGCTATCCACTTCATACAAATCTTTATCCCCTCAAACATTCATTCCTTCCGTAGTATGCGCTATATCATTGCTAGTTTTTGCTTCTGATGTCCCTCATCCGTCCTGATCTCCATTTGAGATGCAGAATTCCTCGAGGTTAGCAGATGAGGTTCTACTCTGACACAGCAGGATTCCAACCAGGACTGGTCCCAGAGTATTGGGGAAAAGATCAGTTGTGCAAGACCTTGGTAAGCCTTAGGATCAAGTTGAGGGATGGGCAGAGTGCGGGAACCAAGGGTCACGGTTGAGGTTTGATGCACAAATAACTAGCATCTGCAGTCCACTGGACCCCAAGTGGAGTCGGACCGCCACCATCAGAGTCAATAGAGACCTCACAGAAGGTTGTGATATACTACAAGGTAGTTCATCCTCGCTGTATGAGTTCATGTCTGAAGATACTTCATCGGGGATAATATTCCAGTGTTTTGAGCAATATTGTACGATTCAGAAAGGTTTGTTTTGTGTGATGTTGCGTCATTTCCACTTGGCGCCTGCATCTAAGTCGTGTCACGACGGTACAGCATGGGACCAAGTCAAATAAATTATTCCAAGGTTTTCAAGTGGAGCAATGTCCTGTGAATGATAATTCGACTCGGGTAAATAACAACTCTTGCGAAAGAAGGACATCCAAACCACCAATCCCTTCTCATGCCCCAACATCACTCATCAAACGCACCCATAGCCCGCACACCCTCTACCAACTGTCTATATTCCCTCAACAACTCCCCCACCTCCGACACTCTCAGATCATCCTCCGTGCACTCCATAAACCGCTTGTTAGGCGCCGGAAGCCGTATCGAAATGGGAGAAGCCACGCGCGATGATGTCGGTGAGTCGATGCGGTTGTGGTGCGAGGGGAGTAGCAGTGAGGAGCGTGTAATAGGGGGTGATACCGTCTGCAACAGGATGAAGATGTGTAAATTATGGATAGAGCACGTCAGCGATGACTTTAACGCGTGAATAAGCAAAGACAGACCTTGTGTGTATCCGTTCCTGACAGCCTCGAAAGCCCTGGCACCTGCGCCAGCCGATCCGTTAAGCTCCTCCTGCTCAGCGCAGCAAGCTTCTTCTTTTTTCGTGCTCTCCCGCTGTTCCCACTCATCATGCTCTCGAAGCTTCGAATACTTCTTGCATCGTGGGCGTGTTCTTCTTCCTCACTTTCTTCTTCTTCCTCGTCCTCGCCGTCTTCCTCTTCCTCATCGCTCTCTTCACTCTCGTCCTCCGTCCCTCCCACCCCCACATCTTCATTCATATAAATCGAGCTTATAGAACCCGGGCGCGACGACACCTCCACGAGCTCTCTCTGCCCATCCTCCCCCTTCCCATCTCCCTTCCTCCCCGGCACCAAACTCGCAATTGAGAACCCGCTCTCTCGCCTCAATAGCCCCATGTTCCACCGTGCATCACTGGTCTCTGTGGTGGGAGCAGACGTGAATGTCGAGGTCAGGGTAGGCGCTAAAGTCGGAGCAGATATTGAGGTGGGGGCGGATGGTAAGAAAGAGCGGAGTACACCGAATGAGCTGTCGACGACGCCGGAGATGACTTTATTAGCGGACCCTGCGATGGCGTCAACGCCTTGTTCAACGCGTCCGCGGAGGCTGCCAGGCGCGTCTGGTGGCGTGTCTGGTGGAAGCGTAGTGCGCACGATTGGGATTGGGGTGAGGTCTGCGGTGCTGTAGAAGATAAATGTCAGCGTATCGAATGGGAATGGATGTTAGAACATGGGAAACAAGGAACAGCGGTGTAAATCAGGTAAAGTCACTATATGAATGATTGAGAAGCTGAAACGCTCACCTAACAATACCAACACCTTCCCCAACACCCACAGCACCAAGATCCACATTCTCCAAAAACTCCACGACAGCCATCAAATTAATCAAACAGTACCGCTCCTCTCCACCAGCGAATGCAGCATTGCGGTAACGCTGGGTGAACAAAAGGTGCGAGACCAGGCGTGCGGGGTTTGATTTGACAACAGCAAATATAAGAAGTGGGAGGAGGACATCGCCTGATACTGCTGTCGGCTGTTGGGCATGAGACATGGTCAGTCTGGGCGAGGAAGCGTGGGGTGGGATGGGGATGGAGGATTCTGTCGTCGAAGATGGTGCCTGTGGGGATGAGACACTTGGCAAGAGAGACAACTTCTCGGGTGACCCGTGAGCTGCATCCCCATCGGATTGTGGATTGGGTGAGAATAACACGTCGGGAGAAGCAACGAGCGGGATATCCACAACTTCGATCGGTCCCGGGGGTGGGCTTGCTTTTCGCTGCGGCGGCTCGGGTTCCTCGAGCTGTTTTTCGCCATTGCTGAGTTTAATTGGAGGAAGGCGGGAAAGACCATCTTTGCGTAATTGAAATCACATATCAGGGAATAACACGCATACATACGTGCATTTCACTCACCTACTGTGAGCTTGTGCGCTGCGACTAGCACAGCTGCCTTCTCACTGGGAGATCTACAGGCAACGTCTAGCTGAGATAACGCTGTGAAAATATCAATGAAGATGAATCATCAGTACGTGTGGATGGGTTAGGAAACTGACTCTCTCCACACGCTCTGACTACGATGTCGATCTCGGACCCAGCGCCGCCAATGTCAACATCAAGATGCTCGAGCCCTAGATCAAGAAGGTTGAGAGCTGCGATGTGGCTCGATAGTGCTTCGTCATGCGAAGCATCGTCGGAGTAAGATGGAAGGAATAATCTAGTAGGAATCAGCGCTGGAACGGGAAAACTGACTCTTCCATACTGTTCACGTACCGATCATAAAACAAGGTAGATAGAGTCCCCTCCACCACCTCAACGAGATCCTTAACCCTGGACTCTTGTTCTTCTCCTGATGCTTCGCCTTTCTCTTTCTCGATTTCAATCCGTACTTCTCCCTCTAATTCCAGATAAAACTCCTGGAATTTCTTAGACAATTCTTCGGGGCGATCTTTCCCTGCATCGAGATTGACAGCCCATGTTCCATGTTTACTTGGGCTTGCGCCGATATCGTGGAGCTTCTTCTTCCCAGCAGGACCTCTAACAAACGGAAGTAACGGGGATGCAAAAGATTGTACGCGCTCAATGATCATTGCTGGGACACCAGCCGTTTCAAGACTCGATGTGAGCTCGGATTTGAGCGCAGCAAGAACGTCTCGCATCACCTCATATCGATATACCGCACGAGAAATGCTGAATGCGCTAATGAGAATGGGGTGATCCTCTGGGGGAGGTACTAATGGCGTCTGTATGGGTGGGAGGGAAGCAGCAATTGATGGGGGTGTGGTCGTGGGCTTGGCGCCGAATAGAGAAGCGAAAGGCATGGCGAGGCGCAAAGGTTGGGTAGCGGGTGTGGGTCGCGGAGGTAGGGGTGGCTTTGGTGGACGAACTTGAATTGGGAGGGAGGTGCTGTGTGCCGGGACTGCATATGAGGGGTATCCAGAGTCTGGTGGGATTGAAGGGAGTGGAGGAAGAGATGAGAGAGTGATGTCGGGAAACTTTGTTGGCGGAAGTGAGGAGCGAAACGTCAAATTTTCGCTGGGTATACGTGTTAGGTCAAATTGCTAAGTAACAAAAAACATGGAGGAAACAAACCTGAATAAGTGTCCGCGCAAGCCAGAAAGTGTAACCACTTGAGTATTTTCTTTGGATGAGGATCGCACATGAGCACATGATCTGACATGAACTCAGGCGTGATCTTCTCCTGTCCTGAGGATTGTTCAAGTGGGAGCAGCAGAGACGCCTACGAAACCATTTTCCGTGAGCTGAATTGTCACAATCAATGAAAACGTACCTTGCCCTTGGTAATAGCACCCCATATTTCAGCCCACTCTTCAGTCTCCCCATCTTGACTTAGTTTCTCTAAAATAGCCCATCCAAGGCATGCAGTATCGAGACCAATGCCCTGTGCTGCGGCCTTCAGGTTCATCAGCTGGAGCTTGCTAGTCGCGCCACCCGTGAGTTGGTGCTGCGGAGAAACTGAAACTGGCGGTTGGGCGCGGTACTAGTTGTAGGTAACCTCTGTCTAGATGGCGTGTATGGGGCATACTTTGGTGTCGAGGAAGACTGAGTTTCCGGTGTGGGACTGGGAGAAAGGGTAGATGAACCAGAAGAGAGGAGTGGATGCGTGGCGAGATTATCACGAGAGCCAATCCTGGCAATAGATGCGCCTTGGGCGCGTCCTATCGAGACAGCAGGAAAGTGTCCCTCTCGTCTTGTAGTCATTGTGGTGCAACACTGGTTGACTGCAGTTGAAGCTTGAGGTTTATGCAGATAATGCAGTTGTAATTGCTCTCACATGCGAACGTTGCTATGATAACTCGTCTACGATCTTCAAACAAAGCTCAAGTATACCTGACTTTGTGAATGCTGGTCCAGTGACTAGAAATCTGTTGACGTCAATAGCCTTGCGATGGCTGGAAAGAGTTGATGTTTAACGGACACGCTTCAAGCGTAAGTATGTTCCCAAGACCCTCGCCGAAAAGAGTAATTCAGCCCCTATGGAATACGTTACATTCGAGCTCTTCACAATTGCAACTTGAGGACAGACTGTTTACCAGTCTAACCTAAGGATATTTTGCGCACAACGAGATAATCGAAGTCCATATAGTACCTATTTTGAATAATTCCAATGTTAATACCGTTGCACGAGATACAACGACTAGCGGTTCAGTAAACGGCGATTCAGACGTCAACGAGCCAATATTAATTAATGACATTAATTTGGAATCCTCAGCAGGCTAGTACACGTGCAGACTCGTGCATCTCAATCAGCCCTTCTGCAGGTACTTGCCATTGCAACCACTATCTTTATAGGTCTGCATGGCGACATCCGATGATCAGATGGGAACGAAATTAGCGTATGGGAACTACAACGCGGATAGATGGATCCCCAATATTGATATTCCTTTCCTCAGACAGTGAAACAGATTCGAATGACGACCTTTGCTCACCATTATATTTATTATTATCGCTGAGCTAGAGCCGAAGGGATTCACTTGATCTAACTTTTGTCAAAGTATTATATATGTATATACTGACATAAACTTACTTGCGCGTACATAGTATGGAATATGATGAAAGTCAGTCCGGACTACGTAGATGCGCACTCATATAGAAGTACAGGATCTGCCGGAACCCGAGAGACATAAAATACAATTATGACTACTGCAAACAATTGAGCAACGTGATTCTGAATGACTGAAAGCAATAGGTCGTTTGGAGTGACGATACAGATGTGAAATGTCGCATGAAATCGACGGCTTCAGACTATTGAGATAACCCATGAGCGTGAATGAGATGTTCTTCATGCATAGGTCAGGTCGTGAGTCTAAAGTATTCTTGGAAAGATGCACCATTGTAAGTTTCTAGCTTTCGGATAAAATAGTGAGGCAAGACGGCAAATCCTTCAAACACCACTGTTTTCGAGCCAAATTAGATGATAATGATTCCAGAAAGACTAGAATATATGAGCAAGCCGATCCGGGATGTCTTGTCTCATCAAATGGAGAGAGGAATCTGAGGGCAGGAAGTGCGGTGAAGCAACGTACTGTACTTCACGGAGGGTGCAGGTTATCAGTGCGAGACATAGTCGCAGACAGACAGGTGATAGATGTTCACTTGGATATTGCTATCAGTAGGAATTTCTATGACAGACCGTAGCCGCAACAACATTCTCTCGACGTCTCTGCCCTGACTAAGGTCAAAAGGCGTCGATATTTGCGATGACGGCAGAATGTTTGCAAGTGCGCAAACTACAGATAAATGCACGTATGCCAGCGAGGGGTCAGCGCACATGGACAGGAATGATACGGTCGTAGAACTTCTATACCTCCATTCTTGGTAGTAGCCCACTCGATAGTGCAAACATGAGCGAACTGGAGTCCTTGTAGCCGACGTATGGGAATCGCATGATTTCCATGAGGCGTTCAGAAACTGGAGCGGTTCGGCAGGAGCGTCAAGTTAATATGCAATAAGGATAAGTACCATATAGTCAAATGTCTCAAGATGATGATCTGTGTATTTATTTTAACGACGAAACTGCCGCAGGGTACAGCCACACAAGCTGCGAGACCCCCATTTCCTTTATGTGGCTTTTGATACTCGAGCCAGATATTTTTGCAATATCGGGACAACAATCTGCTTCGATGTCACAATTCCAGCCATGGTGACCGTCCTTCGGTCGGAGGTTAGTCGCCCAGAAATGCCACTACGAGTTCGCTATAATTGATATGGATTTCTAAAGTGGGGGTATCTGGAGAATGAATCTAAACAGCAGGCTGAGAGATTCTCCGTAGTTCGCCGCAATTAGCAGGATTTTTACAAAGGAAGGAAAGTATGGAAGATTATTGTCACATACTGAGATCTACACTTGCTAGGTAAAACCCAAATTTAAGACAACGTCAGCATTTGTTGTAATTTCTTTGTCATCTCTATAGCACGCAGCATCTATGTTGCAGGTGATCCTGTAATTTGACAAATCATCCCCTGAGTCGATAGATCTCAGAGTCGGTTGGTGATTCAAGTTGCCCTGTGTCGGACGATGTAATTCCAGTGGTACTAATGCAAGACGGACGCATACACTGGTAGGTGAAGAGTTTGCAGCATGGTTACCCTGTGCATGCAAAGCTTGGGTGAGACCTGTAATGATGAGGATAAGTTTACGATATGGAGGGAAAATGTCATAGTATGGACAGACAGGAGCACGTCATCCTCGCTGTACGGGTTAGGCTATGGATGAATCATGACAAAATACTTCATCGTGAATACGAGTGATATTGCATGAAATTTTGAATCTCATTCTGCTTGCTGCGGAGGGACGGCTTAGTACTATTGGTGTGTATTGAAATTTGATGAAACAAGCAAAAATCTCAAGAGTATGTTTTGTGGTAATTCGAACTCCGAGTGCCAAACTAGTCACGACCGATGATTACCTTGACATTGGACATTAATAAGAAAGGATTATCAGAATCTCTGCCACACACTTATCGCTTCGAAGTTCTCCCTAATTGTTTCGAAGTCAAGCCCATGGTTTCCTGCTAGACACGATGTCTTCTGCAAGTGGTCTGCGACAACCCAAAGAAACGAACAAAGGGAAAAACGGGTTTCGCGAGAGATACATCCCTCTCCATTCTGCTAACCCAGACGACTTGGCCATTAGCAGACACCACTTTGCTCAGTACGTCCTTGCGTCCAAGGGGTCTTATAATGGCCCTTCGTAAGTTTTTCTTCTTATTTTGTGCATTCCAGTTTATGTTGCTGAGGTTCTGCAGGCTGAAAGAACTCAAATCCACTCCGAACGCAGCCCCGGTGGAGACGCTAGCAACTGTTGAGGACAGGATAAAGGAGCTCAAGAGACAGCATCAAGAAGATATCGAGTTTCTTACTTCATTCCAGGCTGCAGAATACCGCCAAGAAGTCCTTAGCAGGTATAACTGCATCGACGATTCAATGATGGGAGTAGATACGGAGGATTTGATCCAGGTTGATTATCTCGCTGCCCTTAATGTACGGCTTCCTTTGTTTGCAACTTTGGACGAGTCTGAGAATGTTTTGAAGGAGCTGTACAATGATGCACGGCCTATGAAACGTTTCCAGCACGATATGGACGACGCGCTGTCTCAGATCCGCTACAACTACCTCAAATCCCTCCTCCCGCTCCTCACTCAGCGTCGCACACTGAAATCGCGAGAAACCCGCATTCGGAGACAACGCGATGCGCAGTTCCCGCAGAATATCGAAGAGTATCACAACATCCCGGAACGCGATATTCAGCTGCGAATTGCGCGGTTCCTCCTGCGTTCGACTTCTGAGCGGGAAAAGATGATGGATGATTATGGATGGGTGTGGAGAGCGGTAAACCCGCTGGTCTCAGCGTTCAAGGCGAATGTAAGCTATATTCCAAAGTATAAGAACGCTAATGTTGATGTTAATTTGTAGGAAGGATTCAAGAACGAGATATTGGAGTCAGTCAAAGATGCACAAGCTTCTGATCCTCGGCATCGGCCAACAACGACCCCTGGATGGCAGCTGTAACTTGCATATCTTCGCACTGTCTTCGTATCATGATTGAGATGAGATTGCTCTATGTCTGTGTCTGATTCATTCAATCAAAGCAGTCCTCTCGCTCAGATTGGTGTAGCTCGAGACACGGGCGCTACGTGCAAATGAAGATAGATGGGCAAAAGATGGGTGACAGTTCGTTTGTCCTGATGCGACGAAGGGTTTTCGCATGTGTGCTCCGCAGTAGCCCAATGGATGTTACGATATATCGATTCTCATTGACAATGACCCACCTGAAGATGCCCCGCGTTTGAAATTTCTCATCACAGCGTGAGGCAGGTTGAACATTTCGTTCGGACAAATGATCATATCATCGATGAGGCTAAGAAATCGTTGGTATGGGAGAACACATGCATTGCCATCGATATCTGATATCGTGACATTCATCAAGGGTTCTGTTTGCAGGGTTTGGCTCTCTATTCGTGGGATAAACAACAGTAAACATGAACTCAAATGAGTTTTTCTCTTCATTGTTCACGGATCAATAGATGAGCATAATCCGGCGAGATGCATGTTCACGAACCTCGCAGATTCTTCACTCCAACACTCCTAATTGTCGCACCTCCCTTTGTGGAAGAATCAAATAAGATGTAGGGTCATTCGATTTTTCGACAGTTGGACAGTGCTTGAAGCCGCAGCTTGATAGACGACAAAGTTCTCGGGGCATGTTTGTACATGTTAAAAAGCGAGGCTGTTGTCAAGTGTGGAACTCCATCCAATCAGATTTACCCTACACGATCAAAGGAGTAATTCCTCCGTATTGCAGTAAGGCTAGCCCTGTTTGCCTCCGGACCTGGTAGGGAGAGTTGTGTTTTATAACATGGCATGTGGCGAATTTCCCACTGATCAATACGGCAGATTAGCATCAACCCAACGTCGCCACTGTTGGGCATGATTGACCGGGTAGTGAGTTCATGCTCAGTCCACTACCCGTATATCTGCATTCACTCTGCGTTTAGCGTTCAATTTGGGTGGGTAAATGACATTAGTCCACTTACATCAAACTCTACTTCCACGACAGCTCTGTGAGCCGCTACGTGACTCGTGTCAACTAATACTTACCTTCAACTATATTGCCAAACGTGCTTGTTGTGATATCACGATGCGGACCTCGGACCAGGAACTGGTTCGACCAAAGTATCATGATTACGATTGGTGGGAACGCTGTGCAGATACAGTTTCAGCCTGGGCATTTGTCCGATCATTTCTCACCCCAGCCTCAGGCTTCTAAGGCGTGAAGATCATTGTCAGTGTCGAAGAATGTAGCCGTCCCCCCTGAGGGGTAGTAATAATATAATCTATACTCCTGGATGTCCTGACGACAGACGATGGTTGACGACATCTACTGATGAGCTAGTTAAAGTTTTACTGCGTTTTCCTAAGCAAAGCGGTGCTGCTTACTCAACTTTAGATGCAGCGCCACGATGGCAGTACTTACTGCTGTGTTGGTTACATTTCGTGAACATCGATTATGATTCGTCCAACTTTGATTGCGCGGGTGCGGTCAGTTGACGTGTCCAGATCGTTTATTCACAGCTCGCGTACAGATGACCGGGATCAATCGATCTTTCATCTAGGATAAAAGCGTAACGGACTAACATCCTCCGCACTCAAAACTTGTTCCTATTGTATTTCCTGTGCTATATTGACCTTTGAGCTGTGGCTCCCGAGTCCCACTCTCCTTGTTCTCTACTAGCTGGTCTTGTATCCCTCTCAGCTGCCTTGTCTTCTCTACCAATTATCTAACTCCATTTGTCAACCAACATGCATCAGTATTATCCGACTTCTCCTGCAGGATTAGGAGCATTTACTACACCTACGCGGCAGGGCTCATATGGAAGTAACTACAGTGCCGTAAGTGCGGTATTATGGTGTCATGTCTCCCATCGTCAATAATTCCCCACCCTTAGTACAGCGCATCGACCCCCAGTCCCCAATACAGCTCCTCGGTCCCAAATTCTGTACACACGCTCATTGCAGCAATGAAAAACCTTCAGTCCACGCTCACTCTATGGTCCACCTCAAGAGCATCCCCTGACGCAGTCAGCGACGCCTACATGCAATTTGGAGTCGGATTTAACGCCGTCGTATGGGCGTTCGAAGGATCAGGGGTTGACACTTCGTGCGTCTTTCCCCCCTTCTGTCATCAATAAGGCTATACCTGAGGCAAACAGAGATCTGCATCAAATTCCCGCGCGATTACGTGCTGTGCTTGAGACGTGTCTAGGCGAAGACCCTTCCCCTGCTGCACTGGAAATGTATCAACCACGAATCCGACAGCAGCTATACGAACTGCTGCAGGGCCTCAAAGCAAAGCAGGGTGCGTGGCGCAGTGCTGTGGCTGCGGGGATTTAGATTAACGTGCGTGCAGGCTATGCAGGGTGGCAATGATGATGAGAATAACGTCCAAATTATGTAGTCCATTCTCGATGATGATCTGCAATCTTGGTGGTAATTGTATCTTCTTTATATAAGTATTGATTGCGACCTTTGGTTTGGTTATTTTGCTGATTGCCAGCAGTTAATGTATTTCCTATATATTTAGTACAGAAGCGCAGAATTTACATAGTACTTTGCAATCGACTTGCAATGAATCACGCTGCTGTACATTGTACAACTTTCTCACATTCTTCGTGCTTTACTTGGGATATCAAGCGTCTGGAAGTTCTGCCACACACTCGATCTCAACGCTTGCGCCCAGCGGAAGAGAAGCTACACCGATACAAGTCCTCGCAGGCATCGCGTTTTCCTCGAAGAACTACGTGAAGAGGTCAATTGATCTAATTGAAAGATCTGTTGAGAAATAGAGACATACCCTCACGTACACACTGTTCATTTCAGAAAAATCTCTCGCCAAATTTGTAAGATAGACGTTCGCTTTCACAACGTGTTGTAGTCCCGATCCTGCAGCTTCGAGAACCTTGCGCATATTTTCAAGGGCAGCAATCTGTAACATTGTGTGACCAATTAGTTCACGGGAGATAACAAGTACGGCCTCACTGTTTGCCCCTGCACTCCACCCTCAACGATCATGAAATCGCTCGTACATCCAATGTTGCCCGAGACATATACAAATCCTTTAGATATGATGGCCTGAGCTGAACAAACTCATCGTCATCATCCATTCACTCCTGATAACGCGAAAACTCACAGAACGTAGTGAGGGGAGGGACGGCGTCAAGAGTGAACACAACCTCTTTGGTCATCGTAGGATACTATGTTGAGTTGGGGCCTAAGGATTTAATGGAGGAGATAAAAGGCATCCAGCTTTTGTAAGCCCAACTGGTGAAAAGGGTACCGAATAGGTTACTATCGGTGATCTGCTGACAGCTGCCAGAAGATCGGAGTTGTCAAGCTCCTTCGAGCTCGCGAAGTTCCTTACGGAAGATAGACCTTCGAGGCTGTGCAACGGTGTACCCGGGCTTGTTAACTTTCCGGCGCGGTCGAGTTCACCCTGCGACATCCATATGTGCATGTGCATGCTTGATATGTATATCGTATATCGTACAGCCAATATGTGCAGTGGAATGAACATGCAGGGGGTCTGAGAGCCTGAGACTTTAAAGGGACTATAGCTAGTATTAAGGGGAGTCGATAATGTAATTACCTGTAATTACATGCTCAATACATATATTTGGCACAGAGTGCACTGAACCCACAAGTCAAAAGCAGGAAGAATTCATATATAGATCAACAGTACTTTATAGGAACGACTATAACCCTCTATCAGCTGGCGCCAGGAAGTGAGAAATACAAGTACAACCGGAGCATGCTCGTCCCTACTAGACAAGCCAACCAGAAGGAAGGAAAGTCGTCCCGAGTATGCTATCTATAGTCCGAAGCACCTTCCCTTTCTTTTGGTAAGTTGCTGGCACTGGCCGATGTTTGTGTCGTGTTCGAGTATCATCGCACTGTTCACTAGTCTCTGGTAGCCGGAGCCTAGACGGAGGATGAAGACTGCCGTTCTGTTTTTATTATGAATGGAAGCTGTCGGCATTTCGTGGAGGCCATGAAGCAGGCCTGTATTAGCGCTCTTATCGCGTGTGGTGGATTAGGGGAGTAATTGCATTCGTCACGGTGCATTCCAGTGGCGTAGTGTAAAATTGGCTAAAATCAACGGGCCGATGTCATGATTGCAGAACGCCTTTGTGCCAAGGCTGAGCGCTGAAAGTCCGAATACAGAGTTTGGGAGGGTGGACTAAGGTGAACCTAGACTTGGATGCAGAGGATGTGGCCGTCAGTGGCTGTGACCATGGTCCAAACGCCATCCTTGTCCTTCACTACGTCGTGCTAGTGACGATGTTATAGACAAGGGCGGCATTTGTCAATCACCGTCGAGCACAAAGGCAGTCCTGAACGGTCATTACTAGAGCACGCAGCTGCGGACGCAGGATCTCGAGAGGTAGGAAGCATAACTGCGAGGTTTAGAACAGGTCACTTATTCGTTTTTGGCACCGCATGGCGCAGTTACGGTGGACACCATCAAGGCTGTAACCATGCGGAAAAAAGAAGTGACAGAAGGCGAAACTGTATCGCCAAAATGGTCAGACGCTGATCACGATACACCGGGGAAGGTGGATGCTTCTTATTAGTAGGACTCCATATTGACCTACCTGCAGTTACATCGGGCTGCCCCAACGCTTCAATCCTGCAAAATGTGGATCAAGGGAATTCTAGATCTGGCCGAAAGCCTATGTGCGAAACGCCGAAGCCGCAGAATGCTGAAATCAATTGCCCTCTCTAGAGACAACCCCACGAGGCTTATTGAATTCAGTTGTTCAGGGACACAATGAACGTACTATGGTGCAAAAAGGTCGATAATATGGCATCGCCTATAAGGTCTAGAAAACTGTTCCCGCAGAACAGGTATCACTGGACAAGCCCTCCATGACTCCAATCTGTACAATCAGAGATACAGTCAAGCGAAACTTTCGGCTGCATCCTGATCTACCGGATGATGTGGCAGTCCAACGAGCTAAATGCATCCCAGCTTCGTGAAACAGTATGATCTGATTATCAAGGGGAATCTTGCAACGTCAACGCGGCTGTCATGCATGTCATGGATTGGCAGGTCATCGGAGCTGTTCGGACAAATTTACCTCAGTACGATTGTTTGTCGGTGATTGCATGGCTGAGTCAGCGAGGTTGCGGCAGCACAAGACCATCCAATTACTTACTCGTTGTTGCTTTCTTTGGCTCATCCCATTCGCTTGAAGATACCTTTCCAAGAATTGGCAGCGATAACGGTTCCTCCTTAAGCTGCCCAGCCCATCCTCATCATACAGCCAACTTGCGCCGCCCTTTCGCGACCTTCGAAGTGCTGCAAGCAATCGGAGGGGGCAATCGCCAGTTGCCCTTCATTTGCTTGCCAGGATATCACACCTCGAGCGTAGAGGTCAAAGTGTTACCGGTTGAGCTTCTACTCGTCAAATCTGCATTACAGGTCCGAATAACAATTCTACGAGGTGGTGGCTGACACTGGCTGTCCATAGTGACTCCGATATCCAAGTGACTGTGACACTCCAGTTTTGTTAGCAAGTGGAACTATGCCAGCACAGCCTACGTATAGAAATCGAGGGTACTCATCTTTGCCTTTCCAAACGAGAAACTGCCCCACAAGGCATGTGCGAGCGTCTTTGAAGTCAGAACAAGCACCAATATGGCAATATCACATTCAAAGTTTGCACGTCAGCTACTAGCACGAATGTCTCGTTGACATCAAAAGCACGGGAATACGTCCGCAGCCTCGCTCGACATCATGAAGTATCTGGTGTGCCCATAGGTAGGTTTTCCGATGGATCGTGTATCGTCAGCAAGTTGTTTTCGCAAGGCTACCAATATCCATAAGATAGACATTGGGGCGCCACATTCCTACCCCGACTTTTCCGACTTGGTTCCGATGTTATAAGACGCGATTGTCTGTGATTCTCATCCAAGAAATTGCTCATCCACCTCGACATATGAATTCCATCCGTTCTCCTGTACTAGTCGTAAGTGACCTGCTTATGGTAGAAGATTGCAACTCGGTTGAATTTTTAGGTAGAAGCTGGGCCAGCAGGTCCGGTGGCAGCGTTGACGCTCCTCTAGAACAGTGTCCTAGTCCGCATCATCGATAAGGACCCCAACCTTCGCATCGAACAACGAGGTGCCGGAATAATTATTTGCCATACATCCACTTGTCATAGCAGCATTGGTCTCATTGAACATACGATCTAGCCACGCTCCCTAGAACTCTTCAACTTCTTGAATGTTCCAGAAGTCAAATCCGGGGAAAACTGCGCCCCATGGCCCGTTACTACAAGCCAGGGACATTCGAACTTCTGATGGAATTTTCGGTGGCCCCGCATATGGAACCTACGCCCACGATACTGTCGTACACAGAAATGTCGGTTTACCAAGTAGTCATGCTCAAATCCTAGGTGTGATTCTGGCATGCCACCTAGAAAAGTTCTCTTGTTCTCTCGAGATGGTCCAACGAAGCCCATTCATTTTTATGCTCGGTATTAACTACCAGTTCAGCAGCATCGTACTCAACGAATTTGTGACACCTGTTGAGGGAGACCTATCAACGCCTATGGGGTGCCCGACGAGGGCCATCTGGAAGTCGGGGACACGGCGCCTGAAGCATCCAATATGCTGCAAGTGGGGCGCGTAGAGTCTGACGTGAAGACGCTTTTTGGTCTGTACAGACCTTGGTATTGCACTGTGTTTGTGCTTGCTCCGAGTCATGCCGACGCTGCCCTAATTTTGGGCGCTCATGACAAAGGCATCGTGCGATTGGCAGTTGTTCTACCTTCATCCACACCTATGACGTCTGTTGCATTCCCTGCTGACTTCGTTCTTGTCGATCAGGATGGCTATACTTATTCGGCTTCCCTCTTGAACTCTGGCCAGACGAAGGTGTTTATGATACGGCCGGTCGGAGTGATTGGAGCGATCGTACATGGCATAGAAGACGTGAAGATATATTTCTTGATATTTTTTTGGATGAGTAGTGGTCTGTTCTTTTATATGACTTGTATTACCTTAAACCTCTGAACCCGTGAGGATGGGGTAGCACTGATGTAGGAAACGGAGCTCAGCATCTGAGTTGATGAGTTGTTGGAGGTGGAAAGTTCACGAATAATATGAAGGCAACAGCATCAGGCTTGGGATTAGAGCATAGTACTGTAACCGGTTGCTTGATCTTTTTTGATCTTTGACTAAGTTTGGAGTTACGAGTATAGATTCAGACGCTAGGGAAGCGAAGAACCTAGCTCAGCGAGTGCGGCGTGAAACAACAAACTACCATAGACGTGCAGTAGATGGTGTAGTAAATGAATTTGGTAGTATTGTGAGGTACAGTGACGACACCTAGTGTTAAGGCTGCGCATTTTTCTGATTAAGAAGGCTTTCTTGCTAGTTTGTACTGTGAATATGGTCAGAGGCCGTACATCATATCCTCCAATAATTGCGTGGGTGTTGCCACTGGCAGAAGAGCTCGTATATGCAGCGTAGGGGTTAAATTTCCACTTCGGGTCTGCTTTCACACGAAACATTGCTATTCCCACGATCTCAGCCTCCCCTACTGAATCAACCCCCGGCACGCCCACCGGTATCACTATTCTCCAAATCCTCAAGAAAACGTCAAGATGGTGAGTCTCGTGCCCATTCGACGTCCGATATGTCTTTGCACATGCGTGCAAGCTTCCTGGGTGAAAAAACGGGATGGATTTGGGCGGTTGATGGGTGGATGGAGATGATCTGTGTTGGATGACATAGTATTCAACGGGAGTGGTGGACGTTATTTTGCGTGTCTGGCCGGTAAACCCACTGTTTCATGTTCGCTGACACCTTTTTGATTCTCTACAGACGAAAGGTTCGTTTGGGTTCGATTCGATTGTTGGGGTTTAGATTTGACGGATGGCTTTTTCGATATTCTTGGATCTTCTTTTTGTTGATCAGGTACTTCGTCCTTTGGGTGCGTAGTGCTTTCCCTTCGATCTGGAGTATCTCTCTCATACGGTTGGATTTGAATCGTGCAGTAAGAGACACACCAAGTCCCACACGCTCTGCCGGCGCTGTGGCCGCCGTGCGTTCCACAGGCAACATAAGAGTGGGTTTCTACACCTCTTTGTTAGGCGGTGTCTGACCTCGCATTCGCTTGTCCCTGTCCTGCCACCATCCCCTCCATCTAAATCTACGCTGAACAACCCGTCATTGTCATAAACCAGCCTGTGCCCAGTGCGGCTACCCCGCAGCAAAGTTGCGCTCGTATGAGTGGGGCCAAAAAGCTAAGCGCAGAAAGACCACCGGTACTGGGCGCATGCGTACGCTCAAGGACGTATCGAGGAGATTCAAGAACGGATTCAGGTGCGTTCTATTCCTATGCTCACCCCAATAATCATCCTAATCGTATGGACTTTGTACAGAGAAAACACCGTCGCAAAGAAGCGTGTCAGGCCAACCGCGGAGGCATAAGCATGAGCGGAAACGCGATACCGCGCTTGCATGTTGTTTTACATACTTGAGAATTTTATCCTATGCCGCTCGCATCATTTTCTACGCACGCACAGAATACATGATTCATGCCATGCTTCCTCGTCGATCCTGAGTGAAGCGTTGAACGTCATTTTGATTTGTCTCGTCTTTCTGATTTTACGAACATCTTATACTCCGATCATGGGTATGAGCCTGGTTACTTGGTGTTTCGACCCATGTGTGTTTCTTGATTCGCATCTACGTTGACAGCAAGTATTTAGGACCAAGTAGCTTGAATGTCTAACTTCGCAGACAGGGTATATGCTGCTGCACCTGGTTCCCTGATGCTGACCGTCCTACCTCACGTTATTGATTTGCTGAGACATCCTACGCGCAACTACACATCAATAAAAATCTATTACAATCTGCCTAGCCCAAAGGAGTCCATAATAAATTCCTGATAAATTATGATATATAGTCCCCGTTCAAGCTGGTGGATATCGTCGGTCAACATATGCACGATGAACGAACATAAAAGACCGAAATAAAAAAAGGAAATACCGATAAATACTTTGCGCTCGTCGCCTGGTCGCATAACTATCGCCTACAGTGCGTCCACCACTATTGCCCACAACACGACCCCGGGGTCTTCCACTTCCTCCTCCCATCCTCCAACCCCAACCGAACCGTATCCCCATCACTCTCATCCCTCACATGAAACGTCCTCGCCTCCACAGCCTCTTCATATTCCCACTTCCTCACCACGCGCAAAGCGATATACTCAAATGCGTCGCTTACACCCGTTCCGGTCTTTGCGGATGTGAGGAAGAGCTTTGGGCCCGTGTCTGGTGGGTCTGGAAGGGCGGAGGGTAGGAAAAGGTCCGGATCTGCTTGGGGCGTGGTGGGACGTTGGCCCCGCGTGAATAGACTCGGTGTGATAGTAAGCGCAGACGAAGAAGTCGTCGTAGTCGTCGTCGTCGTAGTAGTAGTTGATGTACTAGACAAACTCGTCATTCTCCTCATTCGTGCTGGTGATCCCGGTTGGGACCCAGGAAGCGGAGAGGACCGTGCACTTGTATATATCTCAGAGAGGGAGGAAGAGGGGGTGTGGAAAGAGGTGACGCCTGAACGGAAAGTTCCGTATAGTGATGTGCTGGTGTGGAGTGTACTTGAACGGGAACGTGATTTTGAGAGTTTGTGGTGGTTTTGGATGTCTATTCGGGCGGAGGGGGCGAGGAGGGATGCTGGGTCGGTGTGTGACCCGAGCCCGAGTTGATGCTCAAGAATGACATCCTCGTCCTCCCCTGAAATAGGGTCTACCACGATCTCTCCTTCCACATGATGCTCTGCAACCTGTGGCTCAGGTTCCGAAAGAGGCACAAGCTCCTGCACGAATCTCTGCGCTTCCTCCACAGTGACACCCATCCCGGGCTGTAACAGATCCATTTTATTCCCAACGACCACACAACAAAAGTTATCAACTTCTTCATCGCTAACCGGTGCTCGATGCTTGAACTCCTCCCACCATTTCGTGAGCGCGTGCATAGTCTCAGGTGCGCTGACGTCAAACATGAGTAGGACGGCGTCTGCGCCGCGGAAGAATGCAGAGGAGAGCGAGGAAAAGCGTTCTTGGCCCGCGGTATCCTATCGTTGCGTGAGCGAGTGGAAGGTATGAAGAGAGCTCGAGGGAGACTTACCCATATCTGAAGAGAGATGACCTCGGTTGGTGTTTTTGGGTCAGGAAGGGATTTTGTTATGAAGTCTGCACCGATTGTTGCACGGTAGCCAGTGGAAAAACGACCCGATATATACTGCGGTAGATAAGTAGAATGAGAAAGCTCAAGCAAAGGTTGAAAGGTGGAATACTGACCTGACCACGGAGAGAAGTCTTGCCTACGCCAGAAGCGCCAATAACGACGAGCTTGATAGTCCGCATCGCTCTGCGTGTTCTACCCGTCGTTGAGCATTAATCATCTATAATTTAGTTCGGCGGCCAATTGCAGTTGCGCCATATGGTGCTCTCTAAGCTCTCCGGTCAATGTTCCCACTGCCAGCGCGAAAACCAAACAAGTCCAAATCCTTGACTAGTCAATGCCTATCTACCTTCGTCTATATATAAAGGGTTTTGCTGTGTATCGATACGGGTCCTTCACACTCCCTGCTCATTAAAATATTCCATCCTCCCAAGCCCGCTACCCCCACCACCAATCCCAGCACTTATATGGTCATTTTAGAAATAGGTTTCAAACTTGTGCAAAAACTTCTTTTTGTGGGCTGGTACATATCATAGTGGGCACATTTAGGAATGATATGAGCCAAGAATTAAAGAAATCGGCGGTTGGGTTGTGGAGATATGGTCGAAATACTGAACTTTTGGCCCCACCAACATATGTCACCATTATTGACCTCCAGATGGTCTGGGACCATCACCAATCGATTTCTACGCTTGAAAAACCCCAGGACTGTCCTTTACATTATCGGTATCAAGTTAAAATCATGTACAGCACAATATAGGAGGTAGGAGGGGGGAGGAGGACCTTGCATATCTCAAGAATGCGATTTTTTCTGGGAATTCTGGCTCAACCATCGTGTTCAGAGTGATCAAGAGCCCTCAGGAAAAATGCTGTTGGAGCACTGGCAAGTCATGGGAAGTCTGTAAAAATCGATCTTTGTGGGGGGTATGAGGCAAACTGACATATTTCAATCCAGACAGCCTTGGAATATTCCAGGACCATTCTCAATCGATTTCTGTGATATAATAACCATAGGTGCACCCTTTCACATGCTGGTATTTACATAGTATCAAGATATATGAGATGGTAGGGGGGAGGGGGACCTTGCATATCTCAAGATTGTGATTTTTTCTGGGAAATCTGGCTCGACCATCGTGTTCAGATGGCTCAAGAACCCCCAGGAAAAATACTCCTGGAGCACTGGCAAGTCATGGGAAGTCTGTAAAAATCGATCTTTGTGGGGGGTATGAGGCAAACTGACACATCGCAATTCACACAGGCACCAAAGGGTTATGGGTGTTTCACGATTATATAGCACTTTTCTATATGGGTCGTGGTTAAGAAGGGGTCGTTTCAAGACATTTCACAAATATAATCCTCCACTGGAACTGTTCCACTGGAGGGTCACAGAGTACCAGGGTATCGACAACAATGATCTCTACTGGAACTGTTCCACTGGAGGGTCACAGAGTACCAGGGTGTCGACAACAATGATCTCCACTGGAACCGTTCCACTGGAGGGTCACAGAGTACCAGAGTATCGACAACAATGATCTCCACTGGAACCGTTCCACTGGAGGGTCACAGAGTACCAGGGTGTCAACAACAATGATCTCCACTGGAACCGTTCCACTGGAGGGTCACAGAGTACCAGGGTGTCAACAACAATGATCTCCACTGGAACCGTTCCACTGGAGGGTCACAGAGTACCAGGGTGTCAACAACAATGATCTCCACTGGAACAGTTCCATCGGAGGCTCGACTCCATGACAAGACAAAGACATTATGTAAGCTAATACCTGATCAACTAATTGATGAAAACCAATGTCGTAGCCCTCGTCAAGGGGAGTCTATCCATAGTCTAATGACATCAATAGGATAAGATCCTAATGAATTATAAGCAAAATACTCGAAATCGAAGGGTTCAACAAAGCAACTCAACCGTGGGAACTACTCCGATAAAAATGCAAAAATCAAGCAAAATCAAGCAAAGTCTGAACGAGGATTCGACCCGGGCCATAAGGATAAGGATAAGGAATACGATAGTCAAGACTACGATAGCAAAAAATCAAGAAAACAAGCAAAAGACAAGGATAAGGATCACGACGGTCAAGACTACGATACGATAAGCAAGTCAAGGATAAGAAACGCGATAGTCAAGACTACGATACGATAAGCAAGTCAAGGATAAGAAACACGATACCATAGTCAAGACAAGGATAAGAAACGCGATAGACTACGATACGATAACTTACGATAACAATACGATAGTCAAGGATAAGGATAGGATAAGCAGGGCAATCATATGTTAGACCGTCCCCACCCACCCTACCCGTTAGCTCTCTCGTCGTCTCGTATAAAAACATATTCTCTCGGTGTCTCGCTTCTCGGTTAGATAGCTTAGCAACACACTACAATACACCACAATACAATACCCAGCAAGACAAGCAATACAACAGCAATAACTCAGGCAAAATCAACCAACACAATACCAAAAAAATAGCAGAAATCACCCAAAATGAACCCAAGTCTGAACAACATTTTCGCCTAAGCCTGCCCCTCACATCAACCAAAATCAAGCCATGCAATACCAAAAAAATACCAAAATGAACCCAAAACCAAGCCCAGTCCTGACAAGGTTTTCGCCTAAACCTACCCCTCACATCAACCAAAATCAACCAACACAATACAAACAAAAATACCAAAAATCAACTAAAGTCAAGCCCAGTCCTGACAAGGTTTTCGCCTAAACCTACACCTCAGATCAAGCAAAAATCAACCAAAGTCAAGCCCAGTCCAAACAAGATTTTCACCTCACCCTATGCCTCAAGATCAAGCAAAATCAACCAACACAACGCCAAAAATCAACCAAAGTCAAGCCCAGTCCTGACGAGGTTTTCGCCTCACCCTACGCTTCAGATCAAGCAAAATCAAGCAACCCAATACCAAAAAAATACCAAAAATCAAGCAAAGTCAAGCCCAGCCCTGACAAGGTTTTCGCCTTCGCTTACGCTTCAGATCAAGCAACACAATAGCAAGAAAATATCAAAAATCAAGCAAAAATCAAGCAAAGTCAAGCAAAGTCTGAACAAGGTTTTCGCCTCAGCCTACGCATCAGATCAAGCAGCACAATAGCACAAAAATAGCGAAAATCAAGCAAAGTCAACCCAAGTCCGAACAAGGTTTTCGCCTCACCCCACCCCTCAAATCAAGCAAAGTCAAGCAAAGTTGAAACAAGGATGAGGATGAGCAACACGATAGTCAAGACTACGATAGCAAAAGACAAGGACAAGGATAAGAAACGCCACACCACACGCTACGACAACCAAGTCAAGTCAAGGATAACAAACACAATAGACCACCACACAATAACAACGCAAGACGACACAATACAATACAATCGCATACAATAACAATACAATAGTCAAGGATAAGGACAACAGGGCTCACCATACGTCAACATTCTTAAATCCCCCCCACCCCCCCGCCCGTTAGCTTTCTCGTCGTCTCGGATAAAAACGTATTCTCTCGGTGTCTCGGTTAGAGTTACCATACAACAGCCAGACAAGCAAGGCAATAGACTACGATAGTCAACACAAGCATAAGGAATACGATACAAAACCGCAATAGATCACAAAACACCCCAATAGTCAACCCAAGGACAACAAATACGGCACAATACCAAGACAACACAATACCCGCAAAATGGCCAAAATAAACCAACCCCAGAGCCATAAAATACCAAAAATAAAGCAAAATCAAGCCCAGTCCAAACAAGGTTTTCGCCTTCCCCTACACGTCAGATCAAGGAACACAATAGCAAAAAAGCATCGAAAATCAAGCAAAGTCAAGCCCAGTCCAAACCAGGTTTTCGCCTTTCCCTATCTATTGGAGTCAAGCATCTATGGTCCCATAGATGTTCCTCGAGGGAACACCTTAATTTGGTTAGTAAAGGGAACAGAGGAACACGAAGACCAATATTCTGTGGGAAAAGAGGGAACACCATGTCTTTATTTGGTTAGGCAAGGCACGAGGGAACACAGGGTTAGTGGGAACAGAGGAACATTATGTGTCATACTGTGTGGGAAAGAGGGAACACGGGAACATTATGTGTCACAATCTGTGGGAAAGTGGGAACACAGGAACATTGTCTGTGAGAAAGAGGGAACACATTCTTTATTTGGTTATGAAAGGCACGTGGGAACAGAGGAACATCATCTGTGAGAAAGAGGGAACACAGAAACGCTGTCTGTGGGAAAGTGGGAACAGAGGAACATCATCTGTGAGAAAGAGGGAACACATGGTCAGAGTCAACAGGGGGACATCATGTCTCATAATTTGTGGCAGGGGGGGAACACATTCTTTCTGTGGCCCTTAATTCACTGACCTTATTTACTCACCCCAGATTTTTCCTCCCTCATCTCTCTTGGCTCTATTCTCCCCATCTGACTCCATCCCCAGCCCTCAATAAGCTAGTATTTTATGTATATATTTCTATCAAAACATGATCTAATGATATTTTCACCCAGAACATAATGTTCCTGAGGCCCTGCAGGAAGTGTGCTGATACAGCATGAAAGAAGGAGGTGCTCACCACACCCACGAACACATTCTGTAAATTGTATAATTTGTCTGATAGACTGACCAACCTACTACTGCAGGCAGAAGTTGGCAAATGTCAATGCAAATCTTATTTGTACTGCAAGCAAATGATCAGGAAGGGCAGGGGGCATACCATCAGCAAGGCGTGAAAAAGGCTATTAACTGTATGCTTCATAGATCACTATCTATAGACTGTCATCCGCAATGAAGGATGTTTGGCACCCAAACATGATAGAACCACACTTTAATTGCCGAGTGTCCTAGTCCAATGCATTACAAACAGGATAACAAGCATTGTTAATATAACATGGCCATGTGGTGAGTATCAGACTTAATACATCATCCTTACAGGATCTTGCGCTAGTACTTCCCTTTGGTGTGTTCCATTACAGCGACCCCCACCATGTCAAGTCTGATCCGCCCTCTGTACTCTATACGATGACAGGTTCTCCCCAACATCTTTGCAGCCTCCATATTAATGTAAACCTCCACACTTACCTATGGTGCATGATAGCCCACTTGCCATGCCATGTCAAACCTCATCTATGCCGCATCACTGCCTCGTCAAGTGCCGCGACAAATCCCACCTGCACCTCAACAATTTTAGCTGTAAGTGCAACTTGGGTATTGCTTCACTACACACCAGCTACTGTAATTTTTTTTCTCATTTCTGCTTGCCTGTGCATGGCTCAGTCATATTTTATATTGTTATCCTGTCAGATTCATTTACAGCAGTAATGAAAAGAAACTACTTTCCCCATCTCTCTTTCTTCACTCCTGTGTGAAAACAATGTGCAAACATCGCAACAATTTCACACCATAGACAGTGCTGTGTACAGTTGACTGTGTGTGAATGCATCTGTATGAAAGTCGAGCATAGTGTGTTGGAGAGTCAGTCCACGGCGGCCATTGATCATTGTTGCATGTGCAGGCCATTATGGAAATTGTTTATGGTTGACGGTCCAATTGGAACACTCACGCTCAGCGAAACCCGACAATTTAGAGGTTGATCCGTGAAGATATGCGTTAGAGTACAAATTGAGGTGGATACAAATCTAAGAAATTCGGGACGGCAAAACTCAGATTTTGTGCAAGACGCAAAGAACCTTTGGAAAGGTGAAAAAAATGCAAGTATATCAGACTTTGATCGCCTAGTTTGCAAACTTTGCACGTATTGCATGCATTGCATGTTTATGTGTGTGATTTTCGCGTGCAAGTCCATAGTTGTGCTCTACAGATAATGTTTATTCCCAGTTAGTGCAGTTGAACCACGTGCATCTTCTCATCCGCCCACCATGTCATTTGACCCCGCTGCGACCCCCGCTCGATACAAACATTCGCTTGTCTTTCTAGTACAATATGACAACCACGAGCCTGGAGCAGCGAGTAGCCTTCGATTTGCTCACTGAGTCTCACCATGACTGTCGGTCTCTGTTGGTATTGTCTTCGAGAAGAGGAACTCGGACCTTGAGAATGCCGCGATCTTTGCCAATAACACATGTCAGATGTCAGCAAAGGTAGTCCTCATTGATATATGAAGTCTGTTTGTACAGCAAATCATTCAAAGGTGCTATGTGTGTAAGAAGGCGAGTTGTCAGCTATAAATTGCAACATCGTGACATTTCCTGCTGGCAGATTTGAGACATTACATCAGTCATACATAGCTCTATTGCCATGAAAACATATCAGCAAGAATAATGTGATTTGACTGTTATTGTGCAACGATGCAAGCGACCGTGGAATACTGTACTTTCAGATCGGCCATTGGCGGCGGAGTTAGTAAATGTTGCTATGTCATCTTTGTGATTCATCATCACGCTTGCCCTTGTCCTGCTGATACTCACTGAATGCCTCGCATCAAGAAAATAGGTCGCCAGCGACACGGGGGCACGGTGCTTCAACCTCACTTCAAACCCGTTCACAAACAATATCGTGCGATGACTGCAGCAAAATCTGCAGCAAAGCATGCTGCCATCAGTGGGGCACTTCCTCAACCCATCCGTGATTTCCGCATCCCTGTCACCAAGGCCGAACTCTCTATGGACCAATGGGATGCGCGTGCACCCCACAGAATTCATTACGGTGTTCCGGAACTGATAAGCTATGGTGCAGGGGATGCCGGTCAACTTGAGTTTTTGCGGGTTCCTGCTATGAAGGACCAGCGGATTCTCGGCTATGTGCTCCTCCCCGCCAGATATCGGTCGTCCTGGGTGTATCTTTGCTACTGTGTAGAGTACTGGCTCGCAGTGTGGAAATGTTGGGATGGTGAGTCAAAGAAGCATCAAAAGCAGAAGAAAACAAAGGCGCAACAAGAGAGGGCAGTCCTGATTGACACCTCTCGCAAGAACGCTGGTGCACGTTTCCTTCAAGCCATGGTTGCCAGAAGAATTGTGTTGGAGGAGTGCGTGGCGAACGGCGTGAATGATGAGCGGATTAAATCACTCGACGAGTTCCTCATTCGCGATCACCGAGATTGGCTATTCGTGGAGTTCGACGAGTTGCCTGACGATGCGGACATATATTTAGAGGCCGATCCATTGCACCCAGAAAACAAAAAGATATTCGGTACGCGTACCTGATGCGGACGCGTGCATCTGCGCTAACTTGCGATGGCCTCAGAAACGGGCTGGGGCGTAAATGTGAACGACATCTCAATGATGCTTGGCCAGGCAGATGATGCATGGATGTCCAAGGGACTTGACCTCTCAGTAATGTTCAAGAAAGAGATGGATGCAGCTCTCAAGAGGCTCAGAGACGGAGGGGAGGAGGTCCACATCACACACGATGAAAATGCAGAATTGCCAGACAGGTGGCATGAGTCCCATGAGCCACCAATACAATTCATTAGCAAAAGAAAGGACCAGCTCCTTCGCGCGGTGAGGAGTGGATGGACTTGTGCGTCTGCCCCACTAACATGATATTTGAGTACAGGAAAGAAATACATGAATGCAGCCCTCCATTTTTAGCTGAGCTAGAACACGAAAACAACACTTGCGACACTCACAGTACCAGATCTTCCCACCCTCCTGTCACTCTGCGTTTTTTGTGCCATCAGTACTCTGGCCTTAAACAACGGTCATACAACTCATACAACAGGAGACAACGTCTCTGTCGGCATTTATGTCACATGCTTTTTAATTACTGTACTCTAGCCATGTCTTATGTGTCACCCGCAACCAACCAATGTCATGATTCGGTCAACCCCTCTGCAGGAGAGAATGGAGCAATGATGCAGATGAATGTCAATGACTCTTCTGAGAGCATCACCACCCTTGCCAGTGAGGTTTCTGTAAGACAGGGCATACATTGGTGGCAAACATTTTTAAACTTGGGAAGGGCCAAAACCTTGCTTGCCCTTGGCATTTGCTCCCTGCATGGAGGACATACAGAAAATGGACGGTATGTGTTAAGTCTGCTCAGACTCTGCGCCAGAGTCCGAGAAACATATCTGAGGGCGTCTGGTCAGAAAGTTCCAGGCTATCTGTTATTGCATTAATGTAATAACAGTAACCCGGAACTTTCTGACCAGAACTCCACAGTGCACATTGTTTTCTAACCCGCATAATGACTGTATGCCCTTCTGAATGAATCCACCAACAACCACCCCTATTTCTCCTGTTCTACATCGTACCGGCTATCAACTTCCTCCTGCTCCCAAGTACCTCATCACCGCCTATTGATAACCCTAATAATAAGAACTTGTCAGCCACAAGCATAGAACTGATCATGATCTGGTGTGCCCCTCGAGAGGCAAAATAGGGTGGCTCAGCAGTTGACGGCCTCAGTTTGTGCCGTCTTTGCCTCTGCAGTGCTCCCTGCAAGACATGGTTCTCTGTAGTCCACCTGCTGGTACCTTAAGGAGCAAATGGTTTAGTACTGAGAAGCCCTTGAGAATAGGCCATAATCCGTTTAGCAAGCAAGGTTCGACTCTCTTTTATCAGAAACCAACGATGAACATGTCTTAGTGGAAAAGGAAAGATACCGTCGCCATCTGCTTTACAATTCGCACAAGGACACAGTTCCTTGGGCAGTCCCTCCCTAACGTTGCCAAATGCTGACACCCATCATGCTCCAAGGCATGACGATGATGTGCCAAGTCTCATGAGAGGCCACCTATGATAACCAATGTTATGAGTTTCATCAGCTCGCTTGCGGAATTGAATGGTTCTATATGTGGGGTGTGCATGTATGTATTTCCGTGATGTCTGAGTCCGATCCTAGTTTTTTTTTGCTTTCAGAGACATAAAGCAATGAAAATACATAACATTGCACAAGCATCTAAGGACTTTTATGCAAATCATTGCTACCAATACATGGTCATACACGTAACTCATATGATAGAGCAAAAAAGTCACATGCAATGGCATCAGATTTGAGTGTGATGTGAGGCAAACGCAAATGACGGTAAATGACTATACAGTACACCTTCTCATAACGCATAATTCTCATGATGCATCAACTCTTGGTGGGTCCCGCTGTGGGACACAGGTAATATGCATGCATAACGCATAAGTCTTAGGACTACTTTATGTGTCATTAGAGACGCCTTATTTGGGGGATCAAGTCCTGTTGAGGGTGGAGATATCATAGAGGTGGATTCAAATGATGAGGATGGTGAGGAAGATGAAAATGTGACTCCGTATTACACATTTGCGCAAGTTTTCACGCTGTGTCAGCAGCTCGAAGATGCTTGCCTTCAATTTAGAGAACTTGAGCAGTCATATCATCTGTCGAGGCAGCTGCGGCCATTTAGGGTTTGGTGCGCAGGGAGGAATTCCGCAGGGCAAAGCAGACAACAATAGGCATTCATATACGTATTTCGGCGCTTCAGCTTTGGTAAATAGTCATGTAATATTTGGTCCCGACATTATGCCTTATGAGAAAGCGTACTGTAGAACTTTTCTAACCGTGTCGGTAGCATAGTCAGCCACTGAAAAATCTTACATTTGTCTGTGTTTGGCATCGCGAAAAGTTACTATAATTGTCATGTGTAGTTGTGTGGCGGTATA